TCCACTCCATTCCTTAAAAGCAGTGGGCCTCCACCACTTTAAATCCTTGGCTTCATTATCTTTCAGGAATGGAGCATCACTTGTACGTTAACCCTAACTCAATGAGACAGTTTGTCAAGTGTTTATTGCGGGTTTTTAAACGTACCCAGTCATTACCCTAAATGTTTTATTGTTCTTCTATGATATAAAATGAATCACCACTGAGCACCATGAAATAATTGCATGTCTACCTTTTGCCATTATTTTTTTAGCTCACCTGAGCAGAAGGCTCAAGTGAACTTTTCTGATCAAAATTTGTCCGTTGTCAGTCGTTGTCATTTTAGTCATTGTCATCTTTAAGTTTACACATTTTCATCTTCTTCTCAAGAACCGCAGGGCCAATTTCAATCAAACTTGCCACAAAGTATCCTTGGGTGAAGGGGATTCAAGTTTGTTCAAATAAAGGGCCACCCCCTTTTTCAAGGGGAGATAATTATGAATTAGTGAAAAATGAATGTCATCTTTTAAAAATCTTGTTCTCAAGAACCACTGGGCCAGGAAAGATGAAATTCATCTTGAATCATCCTCAGGTAGCGAAGATTCAAGCTTCTTCAAATCATGTCCCCCAGGGGTAGGTTGGGGCCACAATGGGGTATCAAAGTTCAACATAAGAATACACAGGAAAAATCTTTAAAAATCTTCTTCTCCAGAACCACTTGGGCTGGAATCATCCTCAGGTAGCGCAGATTCAAATTTGTTCAAATCATGTCCCCCAGGGGTAGGGTGGGGCCACAATGGGGCATCAAATTTCAACATAGGAAAAATCTTTAAAAATCTTCTTCTCCAGAACCACTGGGCCAGGAAAGAAGAAACTCATGTGGAATCATCCTCAGGTAGCGAAGATTCAAGTTTGTTCAAATCATGTCCCTCTGGGGTAGGTTGGGGCCACAATGGAGTATCGAATTTCAACATAGGAATACATAGGAAAAATCTTTAAAAATCTTCTCCAGAACCACTGGGCCAGGAAAGATGAAACTCATGTAGAATCATCCTCAGGTAGCGAAAATTCAAGTTTGTTCAAATCATGTCCCTCGGGGGTTGGGTGGGGCCACAATGGGGTATCAAAGTTCAACATAGGAAAACATAGGAAAAAATTTTAAAAATCTTCTCCAGAACCACTGGGCCAGGAAAGAAGAAACTCATGTTGAATCATCCTCAGGTAGTGTAGATTCAAGTTTGTTCAAATCATGACCCTGGGGGTAGGGTGGGGCCAAAATGGCCGATCAGAGTTTTACATACAAATATATAGGGAAAACTTTTAAAATCTTCTCTTCAAGTACTTCAAAGCCGTGATTAGTGATATTCATATGGAATCATCCTCAGGTAGTGTAGATTCTAGTTTGTTCAAATCATGACCCCTGGGGGTAGGGTGGGCCACAATGACTGATCAAACTTTTACAAAGAAATATATAGGAAAAATCTTTAAAAATCTTCTTCTCCAGAACCACTGGGCCAGGAAAGATGAAACTCGTGTGGAATTATCCTCAGGTAGCGAAGATTCAAGTTTATTCAAATCATGAACACCAGGAGTAGGGTGGGGCCACAATAGCCGATCAAAGTTTTACCTAGGAAAACATAGGGAAAATCTTTAAAAATTTTCTTCTCCAGAACCACTGGGCCAGGAAAGATGAAACTCATGTGGAATCATCGTCAGGTAGTGTAGATTCAAGGTTGCTCAAATCATGACCTCAGGGGGTAGGGTGGGGCCACAATGGGTGATCAAATTTCAGCATAAAAATTATTAGGAAAAAATTTTAAAAATCTTGAAAGATGAAGCTCATGCAGAAGCATCTTTTGAAAGGAAAGATTCATTTTGTTTGGGCAAGGGTGTGGCCACAATGGGTGATCAAGGTTTTACATAGGAATACATAAGAAAAATTGTTAAAATTCTTCACAAAGCCATCATGATATTAATCATCAATTTAAAAGCATGAAAAAGGTAACATAGATTTGAAATTCAGGAGAATAGAGGAGCCATAAAGTGGAAAAATGAATACAAGGCTATATCAATAAAAATTTTCATCTTATGAATAACAAAACCATAATGTGTCACAAAACCATTCTAAGGAAGTGAAGATTAATAAGTTTGTTTAAATACCCCCCTCCCCTCCCCAGACCCCATTTTTATAATATATTTAAACTTTTCAATACTGAACTAATTTTTGCTTTTACCTAGCCAGTTGCTCAGGTGAGCGATGTGACCCCTGGGCCTCTGGTTTGATTAAATTTTAAAGACAAACATAAATTAATGAAGTAAAAGTTCAATAATCTCACTCATGTGATCATCACCTTGTTCAAACTAAATGTCCACTCCTTAGTAAAGTTCACTTCTTATGTGGTCTTCACTTTGTTAATACTCTGTGAATGCTCACTTGAGTTCACTTAGCTCAGAAGACTTGACATGCTGGAGTTTATAGATCAGCACCAGGAACTTTTTGATAAACAACACAGAGATCAAGTTCAAGGGTCACAAGATTGATAACCATGGTATTTTACAAAAAATAAAGCCTAAATTGCCAGGCAGTATTTGAAAATATCAAATTCATATCCCTTGCAGTTTCCAAAATATGGGGTGTGAAAGATGGACAGACAAAGGGCAAAGTGAAACCTAAGTTTTGCTCTGTTCTGCAGGTGACACAAAAAGATTTTTTCACATTATTGTCTATATACTGCAAACATTTTCCAATTTGATCATAATTTTTTGGAATCACAATGAAGTTTAATTTGTAAAGATGGGGGATTGCTTGGATGCTGTTTTGTGTCATCATGAACTTTTGTTATGCTTTGACAATTTACAGTGGAAATTTTGTTACCTTGACAAAGTGTAAATTTATTCCAAGCAGAAAAAGAACATATACTGTATCTGAACTGAAAATGAAACAACTATATAACTCATTAGCTTTAAAAAAAATTAAAACTGTCTAATGAATGACAGAGGTTAAAGTTTAATTGGTTTATTTCCAGGGCAGTGCGTGTTCTGAAGGATATATCGGCCAGCGGAGATGTGTGTGCAGAGGGTGACAGTGACGACGACCCAGAGGTCAAATTAGACGTAGAAGAGGAAGATGATCAAGAGGAGGAGGAGGAAGATGTAGATGAAGATATCAGCGATGAGTCAATTAACAGCCAATCAGAGCCAGAAGGGATAGAAGAAGACTCTCAACCTGCCAGAAAAAGAGGTATCCTAAATCTGTGTCACTTAATAATCTTGCTACTTGCTTTCTAGATGTTGTCTTGGAATGTTCAGGTCTTGTAGTATAGTTTGAAGAGAAATTATTTCTTAGTGATAACTTGAGTTAAGGTATGTCACTCGTCAGCTTTTTATACGCTCGTCTTAAGACGGGACGTATTATGTTATAGGCTTCGTGTCTGTCCGTCTGTCTGTTAGTTTTTTCGTTTCCGGCTCATAACTTTAATACTACTAGGCCTAGGATTATCAAACTTTGTCATCTGATGCATCTTGGGTAGAAGGTGTGTCGCGTACAAAAAGTAGGTCGCTCTGACCTTTAATTAAGAAGTTATAGCCAAATATGGAAAAATCCTTTCCGGCCCATAACAGGAAAACCATAAGACTTACAATCATCAAACTTGGCCAGTTTTTGCATCTTAGGTAGAAGGTGTGTCGCGACCTATTTCAAGGTCACTGTGACCTTTAATTTAAGTGAAATTAAAAAAAAAAATGTGTCTTTTTACTATTCATTTACACATCCCAAATAATGTAAGAGTATTGCACTGTCCTTATTAAAAAAGTGTTAAATCAAGAAAATACATATTTTTTTAAAGCATATACTTGACAGCAATCTATAACAAATATAATGTATGTTAGAGAAATCCTACCTCTCCCATGAGTGTAATTATCAAGCACTGGTGAAGAAGAATTTTGATAACAGAAAATTGCATGTCAAATTAGAGAGAAATTAATGGGTTTTGAGTGTGAGGAGCTAACTGACAGAGCATTGGTGTTATCTATATCCCTTGAGTATTGGGCAAATGGGTAAGCCTGTTTGATTAAAAATAGACTACAGCTCTTGTTGACTAGCTTAAGTTTTAAAATGAATTTGATGAAAAGTAATTAAATTAACTAATTTGATATTGCATTATAGACTAATCTGATATTATGCAATATTATTAATTTAAAAACTAATTTTATGGGGTGGGGTGGAATCAGCATGTCCATATGAATTACATATTAAAACCTGTCGGAAATTAAATCTCAACCCCCCAAAAATATCTTTGAGTATTTTATATGTTTTTTAAAAAAATTTATAGTAGATAGTGCAGACCCATTCATCTCTTGGTAGTAATGAGTAGACAAGCATCCAGTTAAAGATTAATTAATGAGTTCAATGTAGGAAGGCTAGCTGTCTCAGTCGCTCTGATTAAGCACCCTTTGGGGATTAGACAGAAGAACTGCTGGTCAGTTTATAACATATGTCATTTGATGGCCAGCCTTTTCTTTTCAAAATTAATTTGGTATAGATTAAGTTGTTAAGACTAATTTGATGATGGGCATTTGACAAGGTCTAACACAACCAGCACAGAAATCTATCGATGATTTATCATAATTGATGCCTACATCACAGGGGATGGATAAATATTTTAAGGAATGGAAAAATCATCGAAATCTTAGAATCAAGGTTGAGGTGATTTTCTTGCACCTAAACTGTTCAAGAAAATTGTAATTTTTTTGACGGGCGTATCATGCTGTGGCGCGGCACTTTATTAGAAATATTTACGCAGAACCTCTTACTTCCAAAAATTTATTAAAATTCATTTTTTATAACAAATTTAAACTCAACAATGTAAATTTTTTAACATTCAATGAAAAACCTGCTCAAAAATCTAAAAAGAAGCAAGATTTATGTGGGACTATTTCTTGTGGTGGAAGGATATTAAGCAGAAAATTCTGCAAATCTGCACATTTAATTAATATCTTGGAACTTTAGCGTCACATACTTTTACTCAGAGAATATTTTCCGTTATGATATTGCTAAGAATATTTAATATAGGTCTTAATTTATATTTTTAGAACAAGTTTTACACCTTCCCTCAACAAACTTTGCCAAAAAATGACGATAATTAATTATATAAAAGAAGTGAAGATAAAATTTTCACCATTTTTCGCCTGAAAATCACATATTTTGACAAATATTTCAAAATTAACATCACTGACCCCAACTTTTTCTTTTTCTTTCATTATTTTAAACTAGTCAATACTTGTGAATGATTACAGAATAGGTATGCCTTTTCTGAACCTATAATACAATTGTAGTAGGCATTCATTAGGTACTAAATTGGCACAAAAAAGATATGCCTATATGTACTTTTTTTTGTATGGGAAGTCGTAAAAAGTTTGATATAAGAAAATGTTTGATTACCTATTTAGTTTTTTTAATACCCCAAATACATTACTTTTAGTGCAAAAAGGTCGCACAGTAATTTACGCGCATTAATTTGCACGATTTGTTCAATGATTGATATAATTCTCACACTATATTTTTTGCCATGATTACATTTGAAAAAAATTTATAAAGGTTAATGTAACTAGTGCTAATTGTAACGGGAACCGTTACAGATGTTCCCCAAATGCTCCCCAACTCCCTTTTGGTTCCATATTCCCTGTAAGCCTTATTAAATAAGACAACATCAGTGCAATTTTTACTTTAACAACGTTTTCCCAAAAGGTTACCAATTATATTCAAATTTTAACATTGCATGCGTGCCCATGTGAATGCACGTGCATAATGATCATATAATCTTATCTACACTTTCTATATGTTTAAATATACTTTATATGAAAGCATTTAGTCCAAAAGTATTAAAAATCACTCATTCAAGTGTATTTTCAAGTTCACTCGTTCTAAATGCACGCACGTGCGTGCGCGTACATGATGACCATACCTTCTTGTAGGAGGCCCTTATATCTATCTTCGTTCTAAATCCCATCCTGTTTGGTTGAAAACTAAGGGAATTATAGCCATTTCAAGTTTCAGCCAATCAGATTGCAGCACACGTGCATCCACGTGATTTCAAGTATTTTTTTTCCTAAATCATATTGTAGGATATCCTAATGCATAACTATGTTTTAAATTTCAAAGCATTTCGTCAAAAATCAAAGGAGATATGGCCATTTAAAGTTTCAGCCAATCAGATTGCAGCACACGTGCATGCGCGTGATTTCTAGAAATTTTTTGTATATCATATTGCAGGATATCCTAATGCATAACTATGTTTTAAATTTCAAAGCATTTCGTCCAAAAATGAAGGAGATATAGCCATTTAAATTTTCAGCCAATCAGATTGCAGCACACGTGCATGCGCGTGATTTCGTGAATTTTTTTCCATATTATATTGTAGGATATCCTAATTCATGACAATGTTAAAAATTTCAAAGCATTTCGTCGGAAAACAAAAGAGATATTGAGATTTTTGTTTCAGCCAATCAGAGGAAAGCGCACGTGCATGCGCGTGAGTTCATGCTAATTTGACAGTGTCTCATTATTAACACTTTTAATATATCCTTATATAATGAGTTTCAAAGCATTTCATCAAAAAATGTCAAAGTTATAGCTATATTAAGTATATCAGTCAATTCACTCATTTCACGCGCACGCACGTGCAGGCGTATGCGCGCAAAATGACCTTCGTTCCGCACACCTACACTACACACCTATTAACCCTAAAAAGGTTTTAGCTCAGTTGGGTGAACAGTTTCTGAGAACACTCGCGGACAAAAAAGTACCGGAGAACAAATAAGAAAAAAAACTAGAATCTTGTTGCCATGGCAACAAATAAGTCTTCCGTTCTTCTAAATCTGTAAGAATTTGCTTTTTTCTCTGCAAAAAACATAGATATCATATGTACTCTGAAAGAAAAAAAAAACTGCAAAAAGGTCTTTCAGTACTTAAGGTACTTTGATTTTCATGACCAATCTTGTTCTTATGCATTTTGGCACTCATAAGAGCTACACGTGTATCATAGACAAACCAACGGACGAACGAACACCGTACTCTCATAAACTTCACTGTGTTTATGTTCTGGCACAATTGTGATGGTGTTATAAAAATGTCATGAACTAAGTTAGTACCACATTAAACGTAAAGTCGTTGATTTTTACAGTAATACTATCGAGATTTGTCAGCAGAAAGATTATTCAACTACAGGAATTACTCAGCAATTGATTAATTGATTATATGTTGTTTAAAGTTCCTTCTCGAGAATTTTTCACATGGAGAAGCCTCCACTCGCCGGTGGAGACTGCAAAATGTTGTCCAATCGCCATTGAGCATTGAGGAAAATCTTTTTGAGTCAGTACCATCTGACACACGGGACCTCGATTTTAACGATCTCATCTGACGGACCGGTCTCCACGTCCCACAACTGAAGTCCATAATACAGATATATGATGCTCTAGTCATGTTTTTATTTTTTTTTTCATTTCTCAAATTTGTTGCATCAGATTTTCTTAAAGATCATACTTAATAAAAATCATTTCGAACAACTTTATTGCAATGCATACAGTGTCCGGTGATTTTGATTGACAGGTCAATACATGTGCACTTAGTGTAATACTTCTTAAGCAGAAAAAATATACAGAGAGTGATTATGACGGACTATGAAATCAGAAAATATTTAATAAAGAATGGGTACAACTGATATAGAACTGATTTTTTGTCTATGTAAATGGATAGGATAATCGGGATTAAAAGGGAATTTCTCTCTCTCTCTCTCTCTCTCTCTCTCAGACATGTAAATTTCAGTATCTTGCGTAATGAAAAATAGAATATAGAATATGAATTCTGTATACATGTTAATGGTAATTATAACCAAATGTTCCAGATTTAATTGTATAACGAATTTATAATTCAAAGGCTTATAGTTGCAAAATGTCTCCGAATAAAATCAAGAGGGGGGGGGGGGCTTCAAAAGAATTACATACTCGGTAATTTTATGTTTTATGAATTAAAAGGAAAATACTTAAGGTTGCATGTACATACATATAATTATATAGCATTGCATAAAATTGTGTTCATTCGTATACTTTATCTAACATATCAACAGACTTTGTATCATGTTTTTAGCGTAGCATTATTTCACACAGAAACGCGTAACTTTCACATAATGTTAACCCCTTGAGTACTAGTATTTCACAAAAATCCAAGAATCGCTTTTTCTCATC